AGACTTTTCAAAAAAGTGTTTTGCTTTTCTTTCACAAATGTGGGATTAAATTGTGTTAAAATGTACAAAACAGTGAAGTCATGTTTTGAAACGAGGACCCAGGCACAGAGAGACTTGATGAATTTAAGAATCATATGATTTACCTTGCCTGGCTGGGCAGCTCTCTGGGTGCTCAGCACCCCCAAAGCTCTAATCCTAGAATCGCCCCTGGAGGAAAACACGAACACGGTGTACAGTCGAGTCTTAATAGCTTACTTACAGCTGGGCTACACTGCCCACGAGGCTACATTCTTTAGGGCGATGCCTGTAACACTCTGCCTACTGCCTTCTTATTAAATAATTTTTCAAACAATAATTTTGAAAACTATTTTGTCACATTATTATGCAGGCTGCAAGTAGAGGTGACATGAGACACAGGACTTAGACTTAGACTTACTTCTTAATGCCTGTTTTGTTCTGACGTGGAATTACCAAACATAGAGAGGGGACAGTCTAACATATGAAACAGAAAAAGACCGCTGTGTAATCCCTTCATTTCAACAAAGTAACTGTATTCTAAATACCACCTTTTTAAACGGTAACTGTAACAGAATACAGTTACTCATATTTTGTATTTGAAATACGTAACGGCGGTACATGTATTCTGTTACTCCCCAACACTGCATATGTATACATATACACGCACACGTCCATACATATAAAAGGTGGAATATGCATGAAGTGTGACCATGGATGTCCACAATGTCCAGTAACTCATGACAGTGATTGAGGAGTTTTAGAGTCTAACTGCTGTTGGGATGAATGATTTGCCAAAGCGCTCCTTCCTGCAGCGACGGTGTTTCAGTCTCTGACTAAAGGAGCTGCTCAGCACACTTGAGACTCATGCATAGGGTGATGTGGGTTGTTCATGATGGATGTCAACTGTACTAACATCCTCCTCTCACCCACCGCCTCCACAGACTCCAGAGGACATCCCAGCACAGAGCTAGACCTCCACACCAGTTTGTCAGTCCTGCTCCTGTCCCTGTCCGTGCATAAGACAAGAGTCCACTATCTCAATGTCTTTTCCTTAGATGTTCACCAGTGTTGTAGGGGGTGACTTCCTCCTGAAGTCTATGACCATCTCCTTTGTCTTGGTCTCACACCAGCCAAAAAAGTCACTGATGACCCCCCTGTATTCCTGTTCTTTCCTGTGTGATACACATCCGATGATGGCTGTATCATCAACATCATCTTCTGTAGGTAGCATTGGCTCTCTGGCTCCGTCCAGCTTCCCTCAGTAGTGCAGGCTGGATGGTGTAGAAAGCACTGGAGAAGTCAAAAAACATGATCCTCACAGTGCTCCCTGCCTGCTCTAGGTGAGAGAGGGATCGGCGTAACAGGTAGATGAGAGCGTCATCCACCCCGATTCCAGACCAGTAGGTGAACTGCAGGGGGGTGCACAACCATCTATCCATCTATCCATAATCACACACACACACACATGCATTTATGATGTTTTGTGACTTTTATTTACCATCAGAAATAGTTGTTTTATTCTGTTAAACAGATTGTTAAAATGAAAGAGAACAGTGTGTTTTAGGGACGGTGATGGTGTTGTGTTTCAACAGCCTTATCTTTGTGCTCAATTTCTCATTTTCCCACATCAGGGCAGACTTGCTGTAGTGGGAGCCCTTGTGCAGATTTTCCCAATAAGGAGGCGCTGAGGTGAAATTGTGCTTCATCAAGGCCCATCTGTGCGTACGCGGAACAAAGCGGAAGTTGTGCTAGTTTCCTACAAATTAAAATAAAACAAAAGGAGTAAACTGTATTTCCAACGAGTTGTGCTCAAACACAATGTGAAATAGTTGAACAGAAATATTGAAATAACAACAGATTTTAGAAGAAGGTTAACCCCATAAAAAATACACACACCACATCTTGGAGTAAACGAAGAAAAAAAAAGAGTTTTCCCCTGATTGCTTTAATAAAGATAAATAATTTCAAATTATGCGTCATGAACGATGTAACCTCGGAACATTTTACACACATGCTACCCAAAAAAAAAAACTTGCAATGAAGACAAAGTTACACAAGTGTACAGGAACTCAGTCCCAAGGCACTCTGCTGCCCTCTACTGCCCAAAGTGATATGGCACTCCCTTGCGACACAAAACTTTGTGAACCTCATTACAGCAGCAAAGTGAAACATGCGCAATTACCTCCATATGTGACAGCCTGCATCGAATGAATCAGATTCACTGAAGTAAAACACAGAGAGATGAAACTCTAGAGAAACATGACAACATGAAGAATGAAGAGGTCACTCCATTTGTTGCTGAAGTTTTTAAACAGCTGTTTTATGGGCTGTAAAACAGCTGCCAGCTGTACAGTCTGTGAGGAGATCTGTCCCTGTCCTGGATGCATAGTGCCCTTAAATCACTGTGAGGTCTTTAGAGATGGTCTCTGCACGCCACGTGTCCTGCATCACTGCATGTGAAAGGTAAGTGGAGACATGTGACCAGGATAAGGAGAGGTCAGAAGAACGAACCACCAACAAAAGAGAAGGATGTTCATTGACTTGGAAAGAAAACAAACCGACTGACAGCCGAGAAGTCCCAGTTCTTTTTGTTTTGTTTTGTTTTGTTTTGTTTTGTTTTGTTTTGTTTTGTTTTGTTTTGTTTTGTTTTGTTTTGTTTTGTTTTGTTTTGTTTTGTTTTGTTTTG